TGCTTGATTGCGTCGCTAAACAGCCACCTTTCTTTTCCTATAGCTTTGATGCTGCTGGGGATACTGTCCAGGCTTTTGGAATGTGAGGACACCTTTTACCAGGAGGGTATTCCACCAGTTAAACCTCTAATCCACACTTTGCGGTAAGTAGATTTAACTCCGATTCTATCACCATGTGGCAGGTGCTCAAAAGTGACAGAATCCAGAGCATTTGCCAGTAGTAACCAATCAGCTGAAACACTTCCGTTTCCTCAGAATTGAAAAGAAATCATGAGAACTTGATTGGTTTCCAAGGTCAACAGCTCCAGATTATACCTGCTTCACCTTTGACCCTGTGTGATTTCCCTTTCCCACACGTTTCAACACAATTGCTTGATTGCGTCGCTAAACAGCCACCTTTCTTTTCCTATAGCTTTGATGCTGCTGGGGATACTGTCCAGGCTTTTGGAATGTGAGGACACCTTTTACCAGGAGGGTATTCCACCAGTTAAACCTCTAATCCACACTTTGCGGTAAGTAGATTTAACTCCGATTCTATCACCATGTGGCAGGTGCTCAAAAGTGACAGAATCCAGAGCATTTGCCAGTAGTAACCAATCAGCTGAAACACTTCCGTTTCCTCAGAATTGAAAAGAAATCATGAGAACTTGATTGGTTTCCAAGGTCAACAGCTCCAGATTATACCTGCTTCACCTTTGACCCTGTGTGATTTCCCTTTCCCACACGTTTTAACACAATTGCTGCAACATAACCTGCACCCCACATTACAACCCCCCTTCCCCCCATAAAAGACACGGACAATGCAATATATTAAATAGTATCAATTTAACTATACAATGTTTATTAATCTAAATATAAAATATTAACTATAAAAAGTTTTTGTACTATAGAATCTTTACAAAGTTTCCACCTGAGCCCTCATCAAAGTGTGGTCAAGCCACACTTGGGAGGAGATCATGAAAAAGGCACCCAATTTGACAGATAGAATGACAAAATCCCAAAATGTGATACTGGGGTGGGGTATAGCTGGACTAATGAATTTCCATTTCCTCCATCATTCCCCAGGTGGAAGAACCAGTGGGCATTGTGGAATGGGAAGGTGCCACACTAGTGTAAAGCATTCTTTATGTTTTTCCATTTCTGCTTCATGGAAATGACTGCAAAAAAGCTGTGAGATAATGGCTGGCTCAGCCAGCTGTCATTTGCGTGGAGATCAGCCGGCTTCGGCCGACCTTTCTCCACACTTCGCCTGACAGCCGAGCCGAAGCATATGGGTTCGGCTTGGCTGAGCCGCTCGGCTGCTTTAGGGCTGCTGCACGGGCTATAGTGAATATCCCGTACAGCAGCTCTGGCGGCCGAAGTGAGCTGAGGTAAATAACCCTCTAAGCATTTGAACAGGGTCCAAACAGTGTATAGAAGTTTCAATGAGAAATACAATGCACATATATTGTACTTACATCATATTTATTGTTTTATTCATGTACAGAACTCTTTCCTCCCCTTCTCCCCTTAGCTGATCATTTTCTGATGATTCTTGTTTTATTCCTATTTTTCAACCATCAATACGTGAACTTTTTTTCCACTCAGTTTTTTTGGTCTGTTTTCAACGTCACATTTTAAAAGACGTGCATAATAGAAAAAAAAAAAACAACCTATATTTTATTTGTAAATAACTTCACAATGCATTGTGAAGCAGATTCCTGAAATTTTAATTAGTGTCTTCATTTGCAAGATAATATTACTGAAGGAAATCCGTGTTTGTCCGTGAAAAACAAATGTAAGGGTTAATTTATTTCTGTAAGTAATGACAGAGTTATCGCAGAATCAGAAGCCTGTACAGGAAAAGTAAAAATTGCTCTGGTCCAGGGGGTATACTGGTGTGGGAGCTGAATTGGCTAATATTCTTTTATAGGCTATTCTTTTTTAATTTTATGACATGGTCACATTAAAGTGACATTAAAGTCAAAAAATGTTTTCCCTCCCCCCAATGTTAATGTCAGCAATTACCTTAAATTATGTCTCTTAATCCGATCTTCCTCTTCTTTCCCGTCCTTTTCAGCCTTCTCTCCAGCGCTGCGGCGGGTGTCCGATCTAGCGCTGACTCCGCTGTCACTTCCGATCCCGCGGTGTCTGCATGCGGGTGCACGTGTCCATAGACTTACCTTGCGTCTCTCCTCGTCTCCCGGCCGAAAATCCGTACTGCGCCCCAAGATGCTTTGCAGCAGCGCGCGGCGAAGGCGGGGTAAGTTTAAACCGCTGTTAAAGGTTTTTTTTTTAAAAACTTTTTGCATATATCTACTGCTTGCTGGCAGTAGATATATGCAAAAAGACGTAGGGTTTTGAAACCCTTCAAGGCAGGAAATACGCTTGCAAAATGAAAAATATTCGCCAGTTTATTTTTGATAGAAGTTACAACATTTGACCACGTGATGGCAGTAAAAGCCTGCTCCTGACAATGATAGAATCTATATTTGCTCTGAGAGTTCATGTTCCCAGTTCATGGACTATAATCAGGTCAATTCAGGCGGCTGCAGTTTATAGATCTGAGGTATCCCACTTCATTAATTCCAGTACATATTGTTTGCTTCTGTTCCTATGTGTACAATAATTTGTGATGTTTGGAACAACCTCTTTTATAATTACACTTTATATATAGTATATGAAGATTATATATAGTTTATTAAGAATGTATCTGTCATATACTTTCATATACTGCATATTTCTTGACCTTATGGATATATATGGTAAAAAAGCAAGACTCATAGGGGAACCTAAAAAAATGTTACAACATTGCACAGGCAAAAGCAAACATGGCCTTGCTCCATTGGTAAATCCATCCTCTTTTAATCTGTGTAAGATTCTGATTTGGGCATATCATTTTGTTCTTTTTCCTCCCCTGATGAAATGTACAATTTCATATCTGAGTCCTTTATTCTAAACTGTATTTATATTTTAAAAGTCTAAGGAGAACTAAGGAGAACTATGGGGAAAAGCCTTAACCCCATAGTTCTTCTTTAAGGATTAACAATATTTTAATGATTGTTTGTGATAAAGAACACCATGACATGAAACTGAAGATTCACGTAAAAAATGGGACTGGAGGGTGACCAGTCCCTGGAGTGATTACATGAAAGGCTGTATTCTGAAAGATGAGGGTTTTTAAATATACCTAACAAATGTGAGAGCATTCTCTAAATGACAGAAAAATACATCAACAAAAAAAAAGAGAACAAATACATTTATAGGACATGACACATCCCCATGTGATAACAGTTTATCTGTCACACCATGGCAGTGTCAAAAGAGACTGGGGGAATTTATGAATGGGTCATACTAACAAACGGCAAAGTTTTATGTCTGCCAAAATTTCAGTTCATTTCCATCATACTTTAAAAAGCAATAACGATAACATAATGCCATTTTTTTCTAAGAATTTTCACAATGTTTTTTTTTGCTAAATTGATTTAGAGAAGGAATATATGGCAAGAGTCCTGTGGAGGGCTTGCCAGTTCAATAAACGTCTGCTTCACAAGCCACTCACTGTAAAGCTTGCCGCTGCAATTATCAAGGCTATTCACAAAACGGTGAAGAGTTTGGAGAAGGCAGGAGAAGTGAACAATCTAGGACAACATAGCTGAACTGGAAAGTGAGATGAATTGGAGAATTTTTCCAGTTCAACTATGTTGTCCTAGATAGTTCAAACTCTTCACCCTTTTGTGAATAAGCCTGTGTATATATTGTATATGCTTTATCTATCATATATTTTATGATTTGAATAGTATATAACAGAGAATATTGGAGGTATTCTTCAAACCTTTAACAATTCACAATATAGTCATTTTGTTGGGCTGTGTCTACCAGCAATGGCATTAGTTCTTTCCAATGTTCTGGCCTGGGAGTGAATAAAGAAAGCTATAGGTGTGTTGAGTCTGGAGTTATATGCTCAGCTACCCCCCACCCATTTTTAGCAATCTGATTAGGAATAACAAATAATGTAATGGCAAATTTCTAGTGAAGAGTGACTGGGGGCTGGCCATATTGAGGTCCAATGGACTCACTGTGGTTGATTTACTGAAGGCAAATAGGCTGTCAACTTCATAACGAAATGTGCACTTTGTAGGGGAAGTTTCCCCTTAGTTTATTGAATGGGGTGAAGCGCTGCTGACTTCCATCACCCAATCACCTGCAAGCAAAAATACTGTTTTTTATTATCCTTGCATGTAATTGGGTATTTTTTGCACAGTTAAATTTTACCACATTCACTAAGCTTAGGGAAACTTTCCCTGCAAAATATAATTAAATATAATTTCCCTTGCAAAGTTAACGGCCTAGTTGGCTTTAGTAAATCAACCCCATTCAGCTCAACTTTGAAAAATATTAGTAGAAGAAACTAGAAAAACTGTATTTAATAGAAGATGTACCCATCTACATTCCAGAGCAATTCAGTTTTTCAGGGAAAATTTCCAATTTCAACCAGCTGAAAAAACACTATGATGAGCAGTGAAGTGAGAAAAACATGCTGTTTTGTACACCTTGGTAAATTGCATTAGCAAAAAATGATTAAATCATGTGAAAATACTTCAACTTCTAGAAAATATGTCCCTACACAAAATCATTGTCAGAAAATATCTCTCTGTCAAATGCACCTTTATCATCACGCGGATATTTTAGAAAGCTGTGTGCTTTCATGAAGCATTTATATTAAATACATTTCAAGCGATCCGACATGTGATTGGATAACTCCATAGAGAAACATCACACTTTTCAGATTGTATCTTTGTACATTTCTGGATCCGGTAATAGCCTTTTTGATATAATATCAGAGCCGAGACAAGAGTCACCCATCGGTTATCAGGATTCCCAGCATGACATTTGAGCTGAGTTGCACACATCTATCAGAACAGATCCTGTAATCTTTAACCCTTCATTCTAGATCCATATCCATGTAACAATACAGAACTTCCATGCTCTGCACCAGACGTTCTTCAGAAGGCCTTTTCGTGGGTTTTCTCTCCTACAGAGTAAACCATTATTTTATATCCACACTCCCGTGTGTTTTTCTAGTTAAGTTATTGTTTGTGCATGTACAAGATCATAATATGCTCCTCGATTTGACAGAAGCTGTTGATGTGTTCCATACTCAATTATCCTCCCATTCTTCATGACGACAATGAGATCAGCATTCTGGACTGTGGATAGTCTGTGGGCAATCATGATACAGGTCCTTCCTTTCCTGGCTTGATCAAGTGCTTGTTGTACAACCTGAATGTAATAGAAGTTGTGTAAGTAATACAAAGTTACACCTTTTGAGACATGTAAAAAGGACACATTTTAGAAACATAGATCACCGCCCCCTATGCCCTGCTTGTTCCTGGTACCTCTTAAAGGAGAACTGTGAGGTGAGTAAAAATCACTTATCCTCATAGTCCGAGCCGACGTGTGATAATGAAACGGTCACACGTCGGCTAAATAGATTGGAAAGTGAGCGAACACATACCGTCACTCGCTCACTTCTCGATCATCTCCCCGCAGAGTGCGGTGACTGTCAGTCATGGCTCCCTGCAGGGATTCCCCCCTCCCCGCTCTGATCCTCAAGCGCTGACAGGCAGAACGAACGGGGGAGGGGGCGGGTACAGCTGGCTCTGCCTCTAGATAGGCAGAGCCCACTGTCACTCACGCAGCTGGGTGGATCTCTACAGTAATGTCGGGATCCGTCCTGGCTGCGGCGGTCTCAGTATACCGCAAGCTGTAACTTGTGATATACTGAGCTTTGGGTCACGGGAGGATGCTAGTATATGTCCTCCCGTGACCCTTCAGAGAACGATGGGGAAAAACACTTATGCCATAGTCCTTTTTTAAAGTAGAAATACATTCTTGATAAACAGCACATGTTCACTTTACTTGTGTACTGTATTTGTCAGAAAAGTATCAGCAGCTATATGGGTTTATGTATATAAGCTTTGACCATGATCAGGTCACCTACAGCTTTTCAGCTTCTGAAAGGTTCTCCCAACATGCATTCCCCAATTCTCACAACCTCATTCAAAATAGTATAATTTCAGGTTGCCAGAAAAGACATAAATAACGATTGCCAAGTTTCATTCTTACCTTTTCACTTTCGTTGTCCAGTGCTGAAGTGGCTTCATCCAGCAGTAAAAGTTTTGGAGCTCGTATAAGTGCCCGGGCTATGGCTATTCTCTGCTTCTGACCTCCTGACAGTTGTGTTCCCTTGCCCCCGACTGGTGTGTTATATTTCTGGAGACAGTATAAGAATTGTGTATTAGGAACTTGCTACATAGGTACAGTGTGGCATATGTAGAGCCAACTACTATAAAATCCATAATAGAAGTCACCAGCACTCGGTGTGCAAGAAGTAAAGTACTTTTTATTCAATTGTCACATGCGTCATACAGCCAACGTTTCGGGGCCACGCGGGGTCCCTTCTTCTGGGTGACACAGTGACCTTTCAAGGCCTGTATGCTGTATGGAATGCAGGTGATTTCGTATAATCCACTACTATAAAATGACACATCTGTCAAAGGTTAAGAAAGGATCTTTTTTTTTTTTACCCACCACTCCTACTAACACGGACATCAGGCTATTAATAGTAGGCTAACCAACCCAATCCAAAAAAATCCAATCCAGCAATAGCATCTTTCCAGGACTATTTTAGTAATAAGATTATGTTCAAGAGGGGAAGGTCCTACAGCCACACCCATAAAGCAATATGTAGACAAAAGAGACAGTTGCGAAGCCAAAAGGCTAAGGGCTGGAAGCAAGATACTTTGGATGTCCTGACAGTGACACACTTTTGACAGAACATTCTTACACAATGCACAACAGTAATGAGTGTGAAAAGAGACCCCAAACTGCATTTGTGCACAGGGACCCCCTGCAACCTACGTTTTGCTATGATCAGGTAATGCTTTAAAATCTGGCCTGCCATCTATATTTAAAAGCACAGAGTTTTACATTTCTGATTTACCTAAAGAACATTCTCATAGCTATTATTATTTACCTCTGGCAGCTGTTCTATGAAAGTGTGAATATTGGCTGCTTTGGCGGCCTCCTTTATTTCCTCCAAGGAGACCATACGGGAGTTGTCCCCATAGGCAATGTTCTCAGCAATGCTACAATCAAACAGCACAGGTTCCTGGGACACGATGCCTATCTGAGATCGGAGCCATTGCACGTTTAATTGCCTTACATCGACATTATCAAACATCTGAAAAACGAAAAGGGAAATTGTATACTGTTAGTAATAACGTTAATAATAAATTAAATAATGTTACAAATCATTGTAAACATAGCTGTTCAAAGGGCATAGTTTCTAAAGGGTATCTGTAGTAAACTTATTTTTTAGAAAAATTAGGCATGAACAAAAAATGATTATGTAGGTGACTATGATCATCTTATTATAAATCATCTTATTAAAAATTGATCAAAAGTTGGTATATAAATACCATGCACTATGAATTGATTTTTGATGGGAGAGGGGGCACTATGTAATAAGTGGAGCTTACTCCTGAGTGAAAAGTCCGCTTTAACCTGTGTTCTCTGTAATCCCCTGCATGCAGAATCACAGACTACTCCATTAGGGTCAATAGGAGCATTATTCATAAAGTCTATGTTGAGCAATTTCCTCTGAGCAATCAATTTCAATTACCAAGCCAAGTGTGAATCTGATTGGTGGCTGTGAGAAATGTTTTAATATTAGCATTGGCTTCTGCACTGTGTGTTCCAGTATCACCAATCGATTTTAACAAATGGTACTGGGATGGACTAATGCAGTACAGCAATACATCAAAAAAAGATTAAGGGGTCTATTCACCAAGCTGCCGAGGGCAGCCGAGTGAATGACCGATCTGAAGTGAAGTGAGCCGAACGCTGTTCGGCTATTCACTTCAGGCTGGTACGGCTGATTTCAGCCGTACATCGGCTGAAATCAGCTGTACATGGGCTTGCTTCGAGTGGCTTCGAGCATGTTCGACCCGAAGTGCAGGAGTTCGACTCAGCCGATCCAACATCTGGATCGGCTGAGCCGAACCTCCGGCAGGCTTCTCACTGCTGTTCGGGCTATTCTGAAAGATGCCGAACTTGGGGCTGAAGCTAGCCGAAGGATCGGCGGAAGCTACGGCCAGATCCTTCGGCAGCTTCGTGAATAGACCCCTAAAAGTACTTAGACAGATAAGCTGTAGCTTGGAGGTATGGAATCCAAATGGCAATGACCAAACGTGGCCATGTGTCCATATAGTTCAATGATGTCACCAGCATCCCACCCCTTTTTTTAAAAGCAGCTGCGTGACGGCGAACGCCCCAGCGGTTTATTCCAGTACTTCGATCCAAACCTGAGCCTATCCCTGTTAGGGGGAATTTAACACTAGACATGTTTTAGGTTAGAAGCATTTTGTAGATCTTTGTGAACTTAACTTGTTTTCAGTACCGAATACCACCCATATTGGAATCTTAGAACTGAAGACATATTGATTGAGATTTCAGTTCCTTTTTACTTTGATAATCAGTTTATATTGCCTGCCCTTTGCAGTGCCCTTCACAAAATGATTTTTTCTCCTGAAATTAAACAAAAAGGCTGAACTAAGGGTAAAATGTAGCTATGCTATATGAAGTACACCATGGCGACAATTTTCTATGTAAGTGAATATTTTGTCAAGTCTGATGGAAGCAGAATAATTATATTTTGACATAGTGGCCAGCTCATTAGGGCTGTGGTAGCTAATTGTAGCATTTATAGAGACCAAAGTGAACCTTTATAGAAAACAGCCATATTGCAAATCTATATATGAGCCATATTGCAGACATATGAGTTTCAGAAAACAATAGTAGCCCCCAGTCTCACCACTGTCCCTTGGAGGGGATCGTAGAACCTCTGTAGAAGCTGAACAGAAGTACTTTTCCCACATCCACTGCTGCCCACAAATGCCACAGTTTTTCCACTGGATATTTGGATAGATAATTCTTGGAGCACTGGCACATCTGGACGTGATGGATAATTAAAGATGACCTTACGCAATTCTAAGTTTCCTTGATATTTTTCCTATTGGTAACAAAATAAATTGTAAGACGATTCCATTCCATAGATCATTAGAACAGTCATGAGTAAGAATTATTTTCCTTTTTCAGCTACATGACTTACCAGTTTTTGCCCTTGTTCACTGTAGCTGTCAATAGCTGGCTGACTATTGAACAATACAAACAGATGGGAAGCCGCTGACTTGGCTTTAGCATAGTCGGGAGCAAATGACAATGTCTGTCCTATGGTTATCGCACCATATGCCAGGAGAGAGAACACACTGTAAAGAAAGATTAGCATGCATTTTTAAATAAGAGGTAATATTTGATAGGACAGTGATGGATATCCAGATCACGAATGCTCTAACTTTATTAAGAAGACCAATGATGGATCAGGTTGCCTGAGCCTGACCTGACTCTGACACTTGGGAGTCCCAATGTGGAAACCCTGCTCCAAACAAAACTTTTTTTTTTCTTTTGGATAGAGTTAGGTTGGAACTTTTGTCAACTGTTTAATGCACCTTGTTTGAGAGCACGACAGGCACTAAGGAGAAATCTCTTGCACAATATGTGGACTAGATTTGGAAACATTAACCTGCTCCCATGTTTTGTCCAGTGTTTCAAAACTTTTTCTAAAAAATATTATTAGCACGTGAAATATTTTTTTAAATCTATTTTGGTCATAGCAATTGGCATCACACAATACAAGACCTTGGTGTCAACAATTTAGCCGCCATGTCATTTTTGCCCCACTGCCAACACTTGGTAGATACAGTTACTTTGAATTGTCCACATTTCTCAAAGTGAACCTGGTCCAGGCTATGGACATTTTAAAATTTATATATTTCTAAAAGCAAATGTGCTTTAAACAATCCATCTCTAGCTGCAGACACTGTGAAGCAATTTATGCTCAAATTTACCAGCAGAAGCACAAATATTGTCCAATTCCTTCTGTTAACAGCAATGACTCAGTAGCGTTCCAATCTTTAAAGAAGACACAGAAGCTCTGGGAGGGGGAGCAGGGCGAGCTGAACTGCTAAGAGAACAACTTCATTGGGTTCTGCTGTGAACTTTACGATAAAGTGTTCCACATTGCCTGCAGCTAATAGCACAGTGAGGGCTTGTTTTAAAGCTCATTTGTGCTTGTTGAGGATACGTAAATACTTGCATGTCCATATCCTGGCCAAAGGTTCCATTTACCAATGCTCTGAGTAAGATCGTTATTGTCTTGAAGACCAGCTGAGCCTTTAATTAAATCAAATAAATATTTTCTAGGTGCATCAAATTCTTACATTTTAGTTTCTTTAAAAAATCAGCTAGAGACAAAGTGTAAAAGTGTGCCCCATGCCAGCATGCTGAAGAAAAGGGCCCTTACCCTCTGTTTGGAAGCAGCAGTCTCTTTGCAGTGGTGCAGAACACCCCTGGTGTGTCATAGCTAGAGCTCTCCATTCAGCAAAGCTGACAAGTCCAGCTGATTGAAAAGCTCTAGATGTAAACCAACAGAGAGACTGTTGACATTTGCAGGGACACCACTGCTACCACACTCACAGCGAGGGCACTTCTCTTCATCATGCTGGCAGGGGGCATGCTTTTTAACCCAGGTTGTGGCTGGTTTCTAAAGAAAATGACATATTTCATTTTGATGCACCTAGAATGTATTTAGATGATTTAAACTGAAAGTTCAGGTAGGATTAAAAGAACCAATAGACAGAAGATGGCAAACATTTTGGGCATGTGAAGTGATATTTCCATGTTTGTATGTAGACACTTCTTCTTCCATATGAGGCAGTGAGTTCCAGACCCTAACCGCGCGAACTGAGAAGAACCCCCTTCGCCCCTTGTGTTCGAATTTCTTTTCTACCAGTTTTAGGTGGTGTCCTCTAGTCTTTTTTACCACATCCACAGACCTCCCTCCATCCAGATCTCTACTTACCCCCTCGTAAAAAGTCAGTAGGTTAGTCTGACAGGAACGGTCCTTCCTAAACCTATGCTGGTTGTCATTTATTTTGTCATTTTCCTGCACGAATTCTACTAAGTGGTCCTTAATCATTCCCTCTAACAGTTTACAAACTACCGATGTAAGACTAACTGGTCGGTAATTCCCAGGTTGGCATCTTGCTCCCTTTTTAAATATTGGAACTACCGTAGCCCTCCACCAGTCACTCGGAACTCTACCAGTCATTAGAGAGTCCTTAAAAATGAGGAATAATGGTCTAGTTCTAACCCTGCTTAGTTCCTTAAGTATCTTGGGGTGTAGATTGTCCGGTCCCAACGCTTTATTTGCATTAAGTAGACTAAGTCTTTGTTGTATCCCGGGTTCCGTCAACCACTTGGCTATATTTTGTGATGAACTATGTGTTTTATTATCGGTGTCAAACCCGTTTCCCTCCTGAGTGTATACTATGTTGTCCTAGATTGTTCACTTCTCCTGTCTTCTCCAAACTCTTCACCCTTTTGTGAATAACACCTGTTAATGAACAGAGGAATTTACAAAATACAATAAGATACTTACAGAAATACATCTTCTGGAGTCATCCTGCCATCTTCAATCAGAAATGCTCCAAAGCGGTAACTTACAGCATAGGTGAAATGTATGAATGATTGACTGAATGCAAAACAGATGCCATACACTTGAGCTTTACGCTGAGCGTTCCTAAAAACAACAGTTTAAAAAATGACCATAAAAATTTTATTTGGAAAAATGAAAAAGGAATTACATATCACTAATCTTTTCAAAGGAAATTTCTGACTTCTCTATTACACACTGGGATACCCAATATTCAGTAGCACATTTTGAAAAAAAAACTGTTGCAAATGACCAGGCATTGTGTAGTGAATGTTCATTAAATCTGCTGACGCAGGGCATATTTTTTCTTTGCATTTGATAATGAAAAGAAACAAAAGGATTCTACAGGTCAGATTGTAAACTGGTGAATCCATTAAATGCAAGTGGCAGCAGAAATGTATAAACTTGCAGAAAAGTAAACCATTGGATGAAAAGAGGCAAATGATCACAACATGGGCTCTTTCTTACCCTATTACGCTTCTATAAAGAGGTAATTAATTATTTCATATGAGAAACGATGACTTGTTAGATCTGCAACCATGGGGTGGCACAGGAATTGTGACCTGTAAACAATACACTCCCAGAGAGAGGAGCGATCTGTGTTTTAGATTGGAAAATGTTCACTGCAATACTAATAAATCAAGTAATAACTATAATAATCTGACCTGTAGGGCTTTTGTAGGCTTTCAGAGTACATCTCTTCAAAGGTTCTCTCCCTAGTCAGTGACACGACGGTTCGGATGTTATCCACGGCTTCCGTTGCAATCTGATAATTTAATCAAAACATAGTTTAAATTGTTAAAGCTGTTATTTAATTAGTTTGTATTTTGTACTAAAAACATCAACATGTTGTTTAGAAATGTTTCCCTGTTTCTTGGCATACTCAGCTCAACAGATGTACTATTATATACACACAAATCTCAGTTTTTCTCTGTTTGACACATTTGTACTTATAAATAACACAACAGGATGTGATTAAGGAAATATTTATTTACATTAAATTTCAAAACCGCTAACATAAATGACAAATGTGAATGTGAAGCCTGGTTGCCAGCAAAGTTAGATTTCTGCAGCCAACATGGATCATGGCCTGGTCTACATATATTAATGTCAGTTTAATCTTCCTGTGTAGAGTAAAAGGCCATGAATATCTAAATTCCTTTCTTTGCATCAAGGTAATAATGGTGTTCAAAATCATAAAACAGAGAGTGCTGACCATGTTAATCATTAGAATTATAACATAAAGACCAGTCTTTCAGCCACTAGGGGTTGCCACATCTCCGGATTTTCCTATTACAACATTTGTACCATAATCTCATGCTATGCCTACCAGTGCCATATGGTGGAGTCTGTCATTGCTTTTTGTTGGCAGAAGAGGGTTCTGTGCACTTACAGTAGCTAGTTCTACCACCTAAAACTGAACTTCCACCGAGTAAGGTGACAGTTTGCTCCATTCATCTGCAGCTACTACATTTCTTCTTGATAGTGTTATAATAAGGCAAGCCAGTAAACTGAATTAGCAGACAGTATGCAAAAAACTGCTCAAGGTTGCAGGAAGTTTAGGTTTAGCCCTGGTTACAGGAGTCAAATCTGAGAGCTGTCTTTGCCAACTTGTTATTGAAAAAGCTCCTCTGCTTTTTTTTTTTACTAATCATTCCTTCATCTCTATGTGAGTCACTAACCTGACATAAGCATGTGCATGTGAAGGGTTCAGACACCTGATATACATATTCATGTCAGCGACTTCTTAAGTAATAAACCGAGTTTAAGGATGACAGAACCACAACATGCACCTTCAGGCACAATACAGAATTGGCAGTTTCCCAGTTTGTATTCCTCCACTATGGAAATATCAACTAGCTCTTTTGGTTGGAAGCCTGACCTGACCGGACTTCCTCTTCCATTTTGTTCCTCAATGTTGGCTAGTGAGGCTGCTCATCACAGTGATTGGCTGATATTAAGACAGATTCAAATATCAAACACTAGCTGCTTTTAAAACGGATGTATTTTTTTTTGGGAGTTGATAAGCTTTCCTAATAGAATTTAATTTTATCCGCCCCTTTGCATGTCCTAAACCTCCCTATTGGTCCTTAAATTTTATGGACAGCTTTACTGACCAATAGGGAAGCTAAGACGGTGAGAGAGGACGAGCCAAACTTCATTTATGCAGAAAACATGGAGATTTTTACTTGTAAGGTTTCATTAACTGATGCAATATGCATATCAAAGGTCATTCATTTGATTTACATATGAATGCAATTCCCAGCTGTGATTTTGACATCCAGTAATTGCCAGTAATAGTTAAAGGGAGCGGCAGCAGCAGGAGAGGAGCAGGACGGAAGGCATTTGTCCTAAAAACTTTGTAGAAGTTTTTTAGGACATATCTCTTACATTCAAAATCCTAATGTGGTTAATATTCAGCAGCTGTAAGTTTGCTCTGTAGAAAACTCACTTTAAAATGTAAGACTGTAGATTTAATGGCAGCATTCCTAGAACATAGAACTGTAAAAGCAAATAGTGCTTGCTGGCTATGGATGGCAAAAAATGTCTACCATTACCTTTCCAGCTTGCTGAAGCTGTTTTTTGTCTTGATTAGCAAAGCCAGTGAGTGCTCTGAGCTCAAGAAATCCAGAAGCAATGAGGACAGGAGTGAGTGCTAGAATCAGCAAGGACAACTCCCAGCCAAAAACTAGAGAGATTACAAGGCAGAGTATCAGGGCAGCAATGTTTTCTGCAATCAAACCAAGTCTGGAGCCAGTTGCCTAAGAAAAGAAAAAAAAGTAGAATTACATAATAGCAATAGCATAAATATTCAAATTAGAAAATCCTAAATCAAATGTACTGTATGTTATAGGTATGCTGGCATGTTATTGGTTGCTGGGCATGCACAGGTCCTAAAATGGAGACACGCCGTCTCTGTTGTAAAACCTGTGAGTGCCATGTGACCCCGCTATCTATCTACACTGTATATAGGCACACTGTGTGCCTGTACCAAATCTGACAAAAAACTGAGCATTTGAACATATTAGTTTGTTTTTGTTGCTGGCAAGCCTGAAAGTGTGCTGAGGATTCCTTTTGTACAATGACACACATATATACTTATTTATATACACATGAAAGTTGAAACATCAAACAGACAATCATTAAAACCATTAGTACTTCCATCTCATCGCAGATTATGCATTTATTATTAATAAAAAGCAGACATAGCGATCTTACAGTTTGTATCTGAGAAGCGTCAGTGGCAAGCCGTGTGGTTAAAGCTCCTGTGCTATTTTTCTTATCATCAAACCAGGATACTTCCTTTGGAGAGAGAGAAAAGAAAGTTAGAGTATAGTATCACCTATATAAACAGATAGGGCTTCTTTTAATTCCATACAAACCTGGCGTAACATTGCTTTGAATGCCATGTGTCGCAGGCGCATAGTGAGGACTTCCCCTGATCTTCCAAACATAAATCCCTGCCAACACAGATGGATATAGAAAATTGTAATATAAAAGATGCAGTAACTGAATTTTGACAAATACCCCCCTCTACACACTTTCATCTCCATAGGAGAGACTGTGTATTTGAATTTGTGTCAGTCACTCCTGACCTCCAACTCATCTCTCTTTCATCAAACACTTCTATCACTCCCTTTGTCAGCTTGAGATTTCAGTTGTTGTGTATATATCATTATTACTTACATTTCTGAAATTCACCAAACTTTTGCCCTTCCTGAGGGATCAGCATCCTCATTAATGTCTGAGAGAGGTGAAGCCACACCAGCTGCTACAGGAAGAACCAGAGGAGGAACTGGTGTCACTGTGATGTCACAACCTTCTACCCTGGAGAAGTTCACATCTTGAAGGAAGTGTCCAGTTTTCTGACTTCCTCTCCATTTGAGAATCACCCAATCCCCACTTAGACTGCACACAACAAATCCTACACATCCCCTTATTTCTCACATTTACTTCAGATGATGACAGTGATTACCTGTGTAAAGTATGTAAAGAAGGACGTCACACCAATGAGAGTAATTATGAGGGAGTAAATGTTAATTTGTTGCTGAATCAGTGCAGTATCATTAGTTTGAAATATCTACAAAGAAAATTAAAACAGTTAATATAGAATGTGTATGAATAAAATGAAAACAAACATAAATTAAACAATCTACTGCTAAACAGAGAAATAACAGTTACTCAGTTAACTTATACAGATAATCTATAATCATTTCCAAGCACACTTTCCTTCTGATCACAGAGCAATGTATACGCAATTAGGGAATGATTACTAAATTATTAGATTTGAAAGAAAACCTGTGCTAAAAAAAAATTAAGGCCACTTTCACACTGATTGGGCTGTGAGTCACCGCTCCCTGCAGGGATTCCTGTCTCTGCCTCTAGAGATGCAGAGCCAGCTGTCAATCAGCCATCGGGGTGGATCTCGACAGTATATGAGTTTTGGGTCACTAGAGGACATTAGTATATGTCCTCCTATGACCCTGAAGAGAACTATGGGCAAAAAAAGGTTGCACCATAGTTCTCCTTCAAACTGATCATAAACTCTTAGAAAAATTTTTTTCAGAAAAGTGTTTTTTTTGTCATTTTAAAGCAGAGTTATAATCATTTTATAACTAGGTCACCCTCCCACTTTGTACTGTTTTAAAAAAAACAGCTGAAATACATCTTTATGAGCGATCTTGGCTCCCTGATCCTTCATTGGCCTGATCCTTCCTAATTACAGCTGCATCAAGGGACAGAATCCGTAGAGGTAGAGGACCTGATTAGCTACCTCGGCCTATGCAACCATTCTGTGCCTCTGCCTTACACAGTCTCTTGCTGTAACTGCAAGCAAGAAGCAGTCAGGAAGGAAGATAGGAGGAAGCCAAAACCACTCACATATTAACTATTTTAGCACTGTCCAAAAAAAGTCACACAGTCTAATATTTACTTGGACTGTCTTTAGGTTTGATTACAGAACCCATTCACCGTGGCATTGTTTCGATAAACTTGTGCAATGTCACAACATTTATTTTCATCCAGAGTTGCATTTATTTTTCACCAAGATCTTGTAGTGATGATGGGAGAGTCGGGCTACTGCATAAAGTCTTCTCCAGCACATCCCAAAGATTATTAAAAGGGTGAAGTTCTCGACTCTGTGGTGGCCAATCCATGTGTGAAAATGGTGTCTCATGCCCCCTTAACCACTCTTTCACAATTTGAGCCCGATGAATCCTGGCATTGTGCCATCAAGGAAGAAGAAATCCATTGATGGAAAAACCTGGTCTTTCAATATATTCAGGTAGACAGCTAACCTTATTTTTTGGGGACATAACACTGCTGTACCTAGACCTATTATTCAATGGAAAGCTTTGACCTATTTGCTTAGCTAAATCCAGGTGGTGGCTTATTTTTTTGCACAGGCAGTGTAGTTTGATTTAAAAATACTTACCCCAATGACTTTGGCAAATAAAATGCTGAAACCTGGATGGGCCCCTCCATTAATCATCGCTGCAATGGTTCCAAACAAGATATAAGGCCACTCTGATTTATTCAGTTTAAGTATTCTGAAAAATGAAATTTGCGGAAGCTTTTCCTGTAATAGCAAAAAGGGATAAGGAACAGATAAACAAGAAGCATAGTGTTTATGGTTAATACTCTAGTCTGGCAGTGTTAGAGTCTTGGGTTTGATTACCACCAACTACACCTGTGCATGGCATTCTATATTGTCCTCATATTTGGATAGATTTTATATTCCAAGAAAAAAAAAAAATTAGTTAAAAAAAATTCAGCTCAAAATTCGCTCTGTATGCGTGAATGTGTCTGCAGCAGAAAAGTTAACCTGTAGGCTCGTTCAAGCAACAGGGACTGATGTGAATATTTCTATTCACTCTGTTGAATATTCAACTCTGTATGAATTAATAAAGTAAGTAAATATGGTTATTTGCAGACAAGCCTATTCATGTTTAAGTTGAACTCCATGAAAAATCCAAAGTTACAATTGCAGTGGGGGCAAGGAGAGGCAAGGAGGAAATCCCTGTGGAATGAGTGACTGACAGTCTCTTCTCTCTGCAAGTAGAAGCAATCAAGAACTGAATGATCAGCAGTTACAAAAATGCTCATCTCTTGGTATAGAGCCAGTGTGTGACATCTGCAGTGTCCCATGCAACCTCTAAACAGCGGGAAGAATATGTTTTACTCTACCCGCACTTCTCCTTTAAGGCTAAAAATAAATGTGGACATCAGTTTCCATCATGTAAAGTATTAGTTATGTAATGTATATGTATATGTAGGGATATCCATTTCACTACTTTAAATGTCCTATTACCTTCTCTTTATCCTCTGCAATATCATCTTCCTCCCCTTTTTCAGACATAGAGAATTTTCCAGTTGACATATTGGAGTTTATTCTCTGTACTAAAGACGGCTTCTCCAGTGTTCCTTGTGCTGTTTCACTTTCCACTGTTGTCTGTATGGCCTGAAAAATAATCACAGAAGTAAAAAAATGTATGTAAGCTATAGAAGCAAATACTGAGTAAAACAAATTTGTTATTATTGTTCGATAAGATTTCTATAGAAATCTGGATTTGATCATATTTTACCACGTGAAAAGAAGCTGGTGCCCACCATTTTCTCTACACATTTCAACTGAGATTCTTATACTAGTAATTCAGAATACCTGAGCTGTTGCGAGTGAATAATATATTCCTTTTTTCGCCATTAATTCCGAATGGGTTCCGTTTTCAGCCACGGCACCATTTTCCAACACTACAATTAGATCTGCTGTCCACACTGTGCTCAAACGATGGGCAATGACAATGGTGGTACGACCCTCACTGGCCTGAAAGAGTTAATGACAGTTTTTGACTGTGTCAGAGCTCAGCGAAGCTGGCCCCCCTTCAATCGGCACAAACAAAAACTCCAGTGTGTTTCTTTAGTGCTACGTTTGTGCTGTTTTGTGCCGCAAAAATTAACATTTGTGCTGCTTTTATTTTAAAGATAATAGCAATTGTTTGTTTCAAGATGATGACATCACCAGCCCCCCTACAACAGCAAAAAGACATGAAACTTGCTGGATGGTTAGTGCTAAAGGTCACCCAGCCCCCCACCACAGCCTAAAGACACAAAACCAGACTGGTTGGTTAGTGCTATTTAATGGAGTTCATAAAATGAAGCAGCACAAATGTTAATTTTTACAGCACAAGCGTAGCACTAACCAACCAGCCCCTTTTCTGTCTTTTGGCTGTTGCGGGGGGGGCTGGTGATGTCATCATCTTAAAAAAACAAAACAATTGCTATTATCTTACAAATAAAAGCAGCACAGATGTTAATTTTTACAGCACAAACCAGCACAAGCGTAGCACTAACCAACCAGCCCGGTTTCGTGTCTGTTGCGGGGGGTGGGGGGCTGGTGATGTCATCATCTTAAAAAAAACAAAACAATTGCTATTATCTTACAAATAAAAGCAGCACAGATGTTAATTTTTACAGCACAAACGTAGCACTAACCAACCAGCCTGGTTTTGTGTATTTTGGCTGTGATGGGGGGCTGGGTGATCTTTGGTGACCTTTAATAAATGGTTAATAACTTGAAAACGAAAGATGGTAGAATGAAGATTTAAATGGCACAAACCAGCACAAACGTAGCAAAAACCATCCAGCCTGGTTTCGTGTATTTTGGCTGTGATGGGGGGCTGGGTGACCTTTGGTGACCTTTTAATAAATGGTTAATAACTTGACAACGAAAGGAGATACAATGGAGATTTAAACGGCACAAACCAGCACAAATGTAGCACTAACCATCCATCATGTCATCATCTTGAAACAAACAATTGCTATTATCTTTAAAATAAAAACAGCACAAATGTTAATTTTTGCGGCACAAAACAGCACAAACGTAGCACTAAAGAAACACACTGGAGTTTTTGATTGTGCCAATTGAAGGGGGGCCAGCTTCGCTGAGCTCTGTGTCAGCCATAAAGAAGGTGCAGCTATAGTGGATGATTTATGTAACTGAATGACATTGCTGGGAAACGATACCTTGTCTAGGGCAGCTTGTACAACAGATTCACTTTCAGTATCCAGTGCTGAAGTAGCCTCATCCAATAAGAGTATTTTAGGGTTTCGGACCAAGGCACGGGCTATAGCTATTCTTTGCTTCTGCCCACCACTTAGCTGGGCTCCTCTTTCCCCAACTAGGGTTTCAAATTTCTATGGAAGAGTCAAAAAGGAATGAGACGTTATGAAAATGTTTTATTGTATTTTTATTATGATTTGCAACTACAACAAAAAATGTCAGTAGCAATCTATAAGTTTAAATTTGCCATTACAGATGAGAGACTGATAACAAATAATAAACTTCAAAAACCATTTTACACTATATTGGGACATTTTAGGTACGAGTACATTTTATTTTTTTACTATAGGTATTTATATAGCGCTGACAATTTACGCAGCACTTTACATAGAGCACATTCACATCAGTCCCTGCCCTCAAGGAGCTTACAATCAAAGTCCTTATCTCACATGCATACATACAAGGACAATTTAGAGAGGAGCCAATTAACCTTCCAGCATGTCTTTGGAGTGTGGGAGCAAACCGGAGTACCCGGAGGAAACCCACACAAGCACAGGGAGAACATGCAAACTCCTTGCAGATAGTGTCCTGACTAGGATTTGACCGGGGACCCTAGGTGCTGCAAGGCAGAAGTGCTCACCACAATGACACTGCACACGCAAGGATACAAAATATGGGCAACACCCCTGTTTATTTATTTGCTATTCCATTCAGTTTTCATAAATCAATACAATTTGTCCTTATTTATCACAATGGGGATGATTTCCTAACTGTGTAAAAAGTAAACACTTGGAAAAGAGAATGCTCACCTTGCTTAGTAAAAATGTGAATCTGGGTTCACTTCCACCATCCAGACATGTGCTAGCAAAAGCCCTGTTTTTTCATTTATTATGCAAGTCATACCCAGCTTACCAAGCTAAGTGAACATGTACTTTATAAAGTGAACACTTTACATCTTTAGAAAACCAACTCCAGTGTTCGAGTGAGTTATTGTCTCTGCTATGCACAGAGCTCTATCAGCATCTTTCTCTCACTCTCTTAAAGGAGATAATGGAATTTTGATTGGAATTCTGGATATATATTAGTAATATAGTTTGAAGTTGATCCCTAGTCCAGGTGTACATATAAGTATTCGAGAGATATTTACTTATCCTCAACGAAGATATCCGAGAGCCTGTCACAATCCTTACCAATGCTAATGGTGCCAAACATACAGATTTTATGTTTATGATTCTATGATATTAGCAAAAGGTTCAGACCAAGCTCTAAACCAGAAGTGCCCTGGGGCTACCCGCCCAATCAGCTGCGGGTCAAGGCACTCCCATCTGCGCAGCTGAACATAAACAAAGGAGCAGGATACTTGTGCTGCTGTCACTGACCTTAAATGGCCACATGGCGATATTTGGTAAATGTCATTAACCAAATATGCAGGCAGGGAATTCCTGGGCTGCTGCGAATTGGGCGGCAGCGGAAGGAGTTTCTATTCATGCTCAGAGAAGCTCCTTCCCTGTTCAGAGGAGCTCAGGTTTGAACTGGGTTCGATCCGAACCTGAGCTTATCCCTAATTTCCGTACTCACAAGCAAAATCCGTATTTATTAGAATGATTTGCTTCAGTGGTCCATTCATGGCTAACCTGAGTTAAGAGATTGCCTACAAAACAAGTTCACATTAGCAGCTATTATTTTAGTCTACAGATACATACATCAGGAAGCTCCATAATGAAGTTATAGGCATTGGCTTCTTTAGCTGCCCTCTCGATTTCTTCGTCTGTCACATCTAATCTTCCATACTTAATGTTGTTTTTAATTGTTGTTCCAAAAAGTATAGGCTCTTGGCTAACCACACCGATTAATTCTCTGTATCGTCTGATATTCAGGGACCGTATATCATGACCATCAACCAATATCTAATAAAACAGATGGGATAAAAGACATATATGCCAGTAATACCTGGAAAAATACATATATGCAAACACTCATAATAGATATCATTAAAAAAACAGCTTTTATTATTCATCCAATATGACACACAGTATTAATAATATTCACATGAGGAAGGGAAAAAACCTAGATCAACTTTTTACTTCCTCCTTTAGGAGAGAAATGACACATAGAACACGAAGTGAAGGAAAACAACATCAAAAGCTTAATATACAGCAATGAAAACCTGACAAGCATTTTAACCTTATCCTAAACATCTGGGAAGGTTCTCATCCAGGTTATGGTATATCTGTAAAAAAGGCAACTGGACTTGCTGTATTTTTCTTGAAGACGTTTCACTGGACATCCGACCAGCTTTCTCAATTCAGAATTGAGTTGAGAATTCTGAATTGAGAAAGCTGGTGGGATGTCCAGTGAAATTCTTCAAGAAAAATACAGCAAGTCCAGTTGCCTTGAATTTTTTTTTAACAGACTTATCCTAAACCTATTCTTAAACTATTAAAGCCCGAAAGATTGGAGTTTAAGTGATACCCTTCAATTGCTAACATCTATTTACTAATTACAGAACTCTATTATAATTTCTTTTACAGATGCTATCTTTTAGAATACCCTAAGCTCACCACACACTGACCACAATCTGAAAATTTCCTTTAGATCTACTAACAATTATGCAATGAAAGGGTCTGCCTGATTGGATGGTATAAGTAGGTCCTCATATTACATGGTTTTGATAAATCCAAAGCTGATTGTACAAAGATTGTACAGTATGATTATAACATGTATGGTAAGCCTAAATTCCCTTATTCAGGCATTATACAGGCTTTGAGGGTATCACTTAAACTCCAAACCTTCTGTATTAACTGATGGCTAACATAGTACAATACTCTACTACAACTATTAAGCTATTGGTTGGGATATAAAGAAACCCAGTCACTTTTCCCATAGAAGTCTCTTGTTCACCCACTTCTAGATCCATGACTCACCTCTCCCTTTGCTACCCCACCACTCAGTTCGCCCAGCATACAACCCCTATGTAAGCTCCATATCAGAAGGTGTCTGTGCTTACACGGGGATAATGATATCGCCCCCTCACTCATTTGAAAGTGTTCTGGTCTGGCGATTGATACTGTGGGAGCACAGTGGAGGTGAATATAATGTGGTCAGAGGGTGAACTTAGGAACAGGTTGTTTCTTTGCCCTGAGCTGTTCAGCTTTCAACTTGTGAAATGAATGATTCCTTTTTGAATTGCTCACACAGGGCTTGGGAACAAAGTGCCTGGGAGCTAAGTGTAGCTAAGTGGCGTAAAAAAATTGGCGTTTAGACAATTGAAGTTTAACCAGGCCAGTTGTAACTTCTTCCAGGGCGGTGATATAAATTACTGTACAGATACTCCTAGAATCAGATCCTAATAGGTTGGACTTGATGGACTAATGTCTTTATTCAACCTCAAATACTATGTAACTATGTAATGAATAAAACATAATTACCTCTCCATCATGTGGATCATACAGTCTCTGCAGCAGCTGCACTGTGGTGCTTTTACCACAACCACTTTGTCCAACCATTGCAACTGTCTGACCAGATTTCACTGTCAGATTAAGTCCTTTCAGTATCTGCACAGAAAATAAATACATTAGCATTTTCCCCTTATTTTATGAATACAGAAGACTCATGTTTTCCCCATGCTCCGCATCCTATTGTTTAGAAGTAAGAGGGATTGCTTACTTAATATTAATAGGTTACATGTCAGACTTACTTATGGCTTACGATGTGAAAATTTCTATTAATGTTACTTCACTAGACTCTGCATACAACACGTTTTT